GATTCAGTGCCGTCCTTTGAAATAAATTCTTCTCCGGGGAGGGGCAGGCATTCACTTAGTATTTGGAATTGGGGCCAGCCAAAAAAACAAGCTCTATAATTTTAATCAGTTGCATACTTTATTTTCTGTGCTTGTATGATGGTTAAAAGTTTTAGAGAATACCATTTCTTATATAATGCACACAAAACTTGGAAAACAGAAAACAAACAAAAAACCCCCAATGCCAATAAATGTTCACAGAAGAATGTTGGTTTCTTGAAAATCATTTCTATACGCCTGTCTCTCAGCAAATTGTTCATGTTAGGTTGGTAAAGATGTTTTACAGGAGTTATTACTGAATAATGGTAAGATTACTTGAATATGTTTGGGAAAAGTACCATACATACTTGAGTATAAGCTGACCTGTATATCTGCCAAGGCACCTAATTTTATCACAAAAACTACGTTAAAAAAATGTACTGAAAAACTCACCTTATACACGAGTATATACGGTAATACAGGATAGCATCTCTATTCGTATTTGTATGATTTTTAAAAACTCCGTTTTTGAAAAGGAAACTGGTCTAGAGTCAAGTAAATTATCTAGGGTGACAGTAAAAGGCATCGACACAAACCATGCTAAAAATGGGGTCCCCTGGACCCCAACCCTTCTTCCTTACCTCCAGAATCGCTCTTCTCCAATGCTTTCCCTTCCTTTCTCTAACTCAGAAGGCTGGCAAACTTTTCTGCAAAGGGTCAGATAGTAAATAGTTTAGGTCTTATGGAACCCAGGGCTTTTGGGTAACCACTTCTACTACTGTAGTACACGAGATGCCACGCGGCGATCTAAGTGAATATGCGCGGCAGCATTCCAGTAACACTTTCTTTACCACAGCAGGTGGGGGGCTGGATTGTGCTGTGGAGAATCACCCACCCTTTTCCAACCAAAAGCTTGAACATTTGACTTCTCTGATCAGGAAGCTGAAGGCCCTCCGGACGCCCCTTTTCTCAGGTGCGGCAATGTGCCTGCTTTATGAAACGGAGATCACAGACCGAACAACGTCATTTGAGGGACCAGGATGGAGCATTTAAGGATCCAAATGAATAACAATCAGATAATTTCCCCTGTAAGATAACTTAGAATCTAGTCTTATTATATTCAGGTTGAGCCATAGGACAAGCTATACAACAGCATGTTAAAAAACATGTTTATTTTACAGTATGTACAATCAGGAATATATTTAAAAGCATTATCAATTAAAATAAATGAAGACCAGAAATCACAATTTAGTTTGTTCTTAGTGTATATACTCACATTAAAATATAAAGAACGTATGCCAAAAGAGAGCCCAGAGTGCACATTTTGCTAAAACTTTGTACATACATATTCCATTGGAAAACAGCAATGAACAATGACTTTAACCAGAACTAAGTTCCTGTGATGTGTAGTAACCATTATCTTGTTTTTATGAGGTAGTAACTAAACTCTTTTGGCCATGTATTAATACTTTAAATCAAAAGAAATAGGAAAATGATCACAAAATAAGGCCAACAGAAGTAAAAATTCCACTAGAAATGTGAACAACTTCACTCTGGAATGTTACAGTTCTTCAATGTGATTATGTACAATGTTTAGTGCAGCATCTTTAATTTTAATAATGCTAACTTATTCGTTGTGTATACTGTAATTCAGACAATAATTGCAGTGTTACATCACGGTACCGCTATTCTGTGATTCAAATTTTGTTTCAAAGGTATTGTTTGCAAGCACAGACAAGCAACCTTACAGGATTCTGCTTAAATATAGAAAGACCAGTTACTACAACAGGTGGTTACTTGGTTTGTTTCACAAAGAAAACAATCCAAATACATTTAAAAAAGATGTTGTGGAGCCAAATGCATATCGACAACGTCACAGTTTACTTTTGTGACTTCTTGCATCACACATGAATACTCTGTGCAAATACAAACACCAGTGTACTAGCATTAAAATTAAAAACAAGATTATAAAAGGAGTACAGCCTCTGTTACCATTTTAAAAGATTTATATTCATATTACTAAATTACATATAATAAAAATACAATAGTGTTTAATGTACTGTTTTCATTGCCAGCATCCCATTTTTGCCATATAACCACACCCAAGAAGATACTAAAGAATTCTTAAAATATTAACCCCAATTGCATTTTTCATCTGCATTTACATCTGTACAGATAAGACACGTACTTGTACATCTCATAAAAGTACATTATCTACATAAAGAGTATGTCCTCAGCAATATGAAGTTTCACAGGAAAATACTGCCTATATGTACAAAGATTACATAACAATGAGTTAAGCACTTGTGTGGTTCAAATATGCTAAATATATATCCATACCACTTAAAACAAACACCCCCCTCTTCGTCTCATGCCACAATAAACTAAAGCCAAGTGACTGCAGCTCTGTGGACAGCTTCAAGTGTCCCTCTGCGAGGTGGCCGCAGTGGTGCTGCTTCTGTGCCAAGTGACTGGCAGAGCACATTGCTCAGTAACTGTTTTCATGACCCGCCAGGATGTAGAGATTGCTATTTGCGGTGGGGTTATCAGTTGGCCTACTTTCCAAAACCACGACCCTAAAAGTAAAATGAAGAGACATGTAACAAAGTTATTCTTGAAAATGACTATAGTAACATAAGCCTTCAACTGCCTCACCGCGCTCTACTTCTAAGTGGTGCTTATTTGATTTGTGGGTGGAAACGAAAGGGCCAGTCCCCACTCTGAGAAGTAATTTTACTGCCCACACCCGTCCTGCCTCTACACCCAGTCTTCTTCGCCAGCACATGATGGGGAAAGCCCACGTTAGAGAGGACGTGGAGGACGCAGTCTTAGAGTCTAAAAACAATGAATGGCTCAAGCATCAGAAAATAAACCACAGCAGAGCTAAAACTATCTGGCACTAAAAACCTTTCTTGATTGGCCTGTGGTCTTGTCATGGGGGCAAATCAGACTGCATGTAGTATTTTTAATGCAAAACTAGTCCCGACAGATAGGCACATTTGCAAGGGTCTTCTAACTTTCTGACATGAGCCTCCACAGTATGGAAAACACAGTGTTGAACATATTACTGAGAAATGTCAGTTCTCGTGAAAAGATGTCAGTTACATGTGGGATTTCAGAATAACATGGAGCTTTATTATTTACATAAAGTCTCTTTCCATACCTGTCAGATCCAAGGAGCCTGAACATTCTGGTGCTATCTGAAATCTCTTGAGTTACCTGTTCAAGTAAAAATGTAAAATTTCTGAAATTAGAAAAGCAAAAACGTACATGGGTATTTTATATCTTTACAGAAAACAAACATTTCCCGAAGATGGAAAATATATTCCCGTATGACTGTAATACCTCAGCGCACAGGTGCACAATTGTGTTAGCCTAGGAAACGCCTGGCTGAATTTGAATGGAATAAAATATAGGAATAGGAAAGCCACTTATTTATTACATTATACACTTCAAGGGGAAAACTTAAAAAGCACAGTGTTCTGGTTCACTTTATTAAGAAGGTCACTGGCAGCAGTAACTCCTTAGATCTGGTGCTTTGATTGAAAATGGTGCAGTATGAAGTGTTGAAACAATAGGCACAACTTTACTTCGAATCCTAATTCTCACACTTAAGACAATGGACAGAGTATATAATCTCCTAAACATATTTTTGCCCTTTGCAAAAAGGAATAAAAAATATCTACCTTGGAGTATTCTCATAAATATTAAGTGGGTATAATGTCTAGCTAAGAGAGTACTCAAAAGATGCTAATTATCGGTCCTTTTTCTTGCCCTCTCTCTCCAAATAATAAAAGATTTCATAATAGTACATATCCTTCAGAAAGTCCTCAGAGTGACCAACTGCCAGTTGGGGAAATAGGGATAAGACTACAGGGGAAAGAGAAACCCAAGGTGGGTAGCTTACTGATTGCAAAACATCCTAAATTACAATGGCTCTAACTTCTTCCCTAAATTTGGTAGGCTGCAAAAAAATTGAGTTCGAAACTAAATTTATTTCCTAATACCCTACCAACTAATTACTCCAGCAACATCAATTATTTGTAAGTTCTGTAGCCCAGCTCACTTGAAGGATACAACACACTCACATAAGTAACAAGGGTTCAAGGCTCAACAAGACTGTGACTTTCAGTAGATTCTGGGGTGTGCCTAACAGAGGGGTATAATCTTATTTTTGGAGAGGTGGCACTGAAGTAAGGGCAGTCTTGGGAGTTTAAAAAAGCCCTCTGGTGAGATTCTGTAAATGTGTTTTGCAAAACAAAACTAAACAATCATTCCTGTAAAGCTTTGCTCTCTCTGCTCAGTGTTCACTGGTTGTTGGTTGTTCTTAATCTCCCTGCCCAATTCCCTCAGGTGACTGACCATCATTCTGAAAAGTGAGCTCCCACGGGCATTACTGCTAAAAACATGTTAGGAGAGACCTTTTGAACACTTCCTAAAAACCAGGCACGATGCCAAGCACACCACGTGGTTCATTTTATTTACTTAACAACCCTTTGAAGCAGTATTTCATTTTCTCCAGTCCACAAACCTATGAGGGGTACCCCTCCAAAACCAGGTATTTCTCAAAGCTATGTATTTAAATTTTTTTTTTACAAAACAACTTTATCACCTTCAAAGTACTCTCCATTACACTTAATACATTTGTCAAATCTGCGATTCCATTCTTGGAAACGTTTTTCAAACTCATCTTTTGGGATGGCTGACAGCACATCCCTCGATATTTTTCTTCACCTCTTCTACATTGTCAAATAGTTGTCCTTTCATGTCCCTCTTCATTTCCGGAAACAAAAAAGGTGCGCAGAGTTGAGGTCAGGTGCATGGGGCAAGAGAGGCATGCTGTTTTTTTGCCCCAAAACTGGCGCACTGAGATGGCTCCATGAGTAGGTACATTGTTGTCATGGCAAAAGCAGTCCCCCGTCTGACACAAATCAGGCCTTTTTTGTTGAACACAAGTTATGCTATCTTTAACTAGAAAGCTCTATTAACAGCCTGACCTGCTGGAATGAACTCTATATGCACTACGAATCAACATTTTCATCTGTTTGGGAAGTTGATGGACATCCAGAATGAGATTTGTCATCAGTCGACATTTCACCTTCTTGAAATGAGAAAACCACTCGTACACTTGAGTTTTTCCCATAGCGCTGTCCTTGTAAGCTGTGTTCAACATCATAACAGTTTCTGTTCTCTTAAATTGGCCATCACAAAAAAGGAGGTTCGAGTGAAATTGCTTGTACAAAAAAAACTCACTGTGTCCAGAGAGAATCTTCCCAGGCGATGCCACTGGCTCCACTAACTCAGTTGCTTGATGCTTGTCCAGCACAATTCCTCCAACCCCCCCCTTTTTTGGTTTTCGTGTGTGTGTGTGTGTGTGTGTGTGTGTGTGCGCGCGCATGGGAAAGTTAGTGACATTCCAAGATCACACAGCAGTTGCGAATTGAACGAGGGGGTCCTGCCTCTTGGTCCTGCCTACACTGATTGCTTGGTATAAGAACTGTACTGAAGTTCAGGGCACAATGTGCTACTGTCTTGCCTTTGCCATGAAAAGGTTCCTCTCTCCCCCGTGATCAAGTGAATGTGACACTATAGAGACTGGCACGGGCACTAACTTGAGTGTACTGGAAGAATTTTTAATGGTTTTATTTACTATGACACTGGGGGGAAGGGGAGTGGGAAGGAAAAAAAAGCTAATTTTGTGGATGTTTATAACTCTAGCACTTTCTGACATAAATGATAAATTGAATATATCACACGGCTTGGAGTTAAATTCTTTCTGAAAGTATGGTTGGAAGAACTCGAAAGATACAGACCCAGGTTAACTGAAGGGAAGAAAAGATGTGGACAGAATCTCGCAGGGCGGAGCTAACTGAATGAAGGGGCAAAGTGGCTTCACAAGACATGCAGGGGCCTGTCCTTCTAGGCGGCCCTCTGAACTGCAAGGCAGAGCAGGTGTGTCAGTCAGGGATCTTGTTCCAGGGCCGGGGTCTGGGGAGGTCAAGCAAAAGCCATGGTGGCTAACTTTTAGCAGTTGGGGAAAGTCTTGTTTTGAAAAGGAGGGTGTTGTCTGGAAGTATATAAAATATGCACTGAAGTTATTTGAGTAATGAAGAGAAAGAGTTGGCTAGGAAACAAATATTACTTTAAATCACCAGTCTGAACACAGAATATAATGGTTCCCAAGTCTTAATGGTAAAAATTAGCAAAACCCAAATCAAAAGTACAATTTGATAATGTCTTGTGACTATTTAATGAATAAGAAAAAATTTTTTAAAGGATTACTTACTTCATTCGATCTAAAACTTCTACCTTGCATTCCATGTTTCCAGAAAGCTAGCACGCTGTCTTGTAGGCAAACTAGCAGGCAAGAACAGTTCAATTACTGTTAATAGCACAAAAGTTCAGCTGATAAGCATCACTTAATCCTTCTTTCTATCTTCAATAGCAATACTTCAACTGGTCACTAGTGTAAAGTCACTGCCATAGACGTAAACTGATAGAGAGTAGAATTGCCCCTAGGGGTTTCGGAAGCTACAAATCTTTACATGAGCAGAAAACATCAGCTTTCTCACAGTGTGCTGGTGGATTCGAACTGACCTTGTGGTTTGCAGCCCAAAGCACAACTCACTGTGCCACCATGGGTCATTTCAAATATACATATACAACTTCCCCTGAGGGCTTCCGAGGTTGTAACTCCTTCTGTGAGTCGAAAGCCTCGTCTTTCTCCTGAAGAGTGGCTGGTGGGTTTAAACTGCTGACCTTGAGGTTAGCAGCCCAGTGCATAACCGCTATGCAACCAGGGCACCAAAATATACACTACACAGTACTTTTTTACCTTTTTTGGTTAGAATGAAAGAAAATTGTTTGAGAAAACTGACTTTTGAAATATAAAATACTTAAAACATAGAGACCAAACAAACATAACACACACATACCACTCATCTATGCAGTCCTAATATTTGCCAATAGTTTTAGAGAAAAACAGACCTGGCATCTTACATACCCCAGGCTTTCCACCGTTCGTACATTTGGTACGATGCAAAATCAAGGTATTTCTAGTTTTTCGTTATTGCAAACAATGATGCAATAAGCATTCCATTATCTTTTAACTCCATTTTGGACACAATTTTGAAGACCCCTCGTAATCAACCCAGGTTTTGCGTGTATAATGAATAAGGAAGAAATATAATTTTGTTCCCCACCTATGACCCATTTTTCAGCATCCTTTGTTGAATAGTCCCATCATTTCCACAGGATCTTTTCACTATTTTCTGTCTAATCCTCCCACTTCCAGTTTCTTGTCTAATAAGACAATGCTGCGGTATGATGATAGCAGCATCCTCACTGTTCTACGTTTCAAAGGCAATGATTTGGACCATTAAACACGATGTTTGTAATGGGCTAAGGTCATTCCCTTCCTACCCCAGTTAGGAAGTCGTTTCTCTTTTGTTTAAAACACGAACCGAGTTCACTGAGTTCTTTTGGCGCATCTCATGGAAAGTAAGATGACTTTCAAAATTTCCAGTTACTTTGCATACTGCAGAAGTATCCCATGTTTTTCTGAGACAAAGTCTATTACTTGTAAGTGTGGAATTTTATCTGTTGATATCTTAATATTGATTTTCATAAGTCATATCAGATTATCATTTTTTATTTTATGTTCCAATCTTATTTAGTTTTAGTGTCCTTGCTTAGTTGGGTCTCATACTTTAATTCCCTCGTGATTCCTTGTCTACAATCTCCAAATCTGTACAGGACTGGGATCGTTTTGTCCTTGCTCAGGACATGAGAATCTATGACACTGTCCAGCCGTCTGTAGGGAGCATCTCCTGACTATGAGGCATCCTCAAGCAACAAGTCTTGGATACAGTTTTGAGTTTCTGTCCCCTCTTTATTTTGCATTTTCATCACATGCCCTTCTAGTGGTGGCTTCTATTTCACTATCTTGGGCAGCTGTCCCCCCAAATGACTTATCTTTTTAAAAAAAGTGGAAGTCATGTATTCCGGTTTGAGGACGAGGTGAAACAGAACTAGGAACCGCACAAATGGACCATCAGCCCTTGACCTTAACTCTCTGCAACATCAAGTATCTTTACTGAAGAAGGACATTTTTAAAAATCATGGTTAAATCTCATTTATAATTAAAAATACAACTTTAAATTGTCCTTTTTTCCTGGCACAATCTCATCTATAATAATCCTTACCTTACTTTTCCTGGGCATAATTATTTTAGAATACTGACACCATCAGAAATACTTTTCTAGAAAAAGCTCTTGCCACGTAAAATGTGGAAATGTGAGAAAAATAAGGAAAAGTCTCCATGAATTTAAATCTCTGATCAACATATAGAATAGCAATAAGACCATATTTATAAAGCATTTATAAAAAAATGCTACAGGAGTCTGGAAGAAATGGAAAATCACAACTATGTTGTAAGAAATGATACTTTTTTTGAAATATCAGATCTATAAAGAAAAACTTGTTTACAATATTGTTATTAAACTAATTTAGAAAATATGTACAACTTCAGTCTAATATTGACTTCCTATTCATTATATCCTATATTTGAAAACAGAGGAGTGTATATGGTACATTGCTAAGGACTCAAGTATAAGCCAACCTAAATATCAGCTGAGGTACTAATTTCACTACAAAAACTGCATAAATAATGTGCAGGAAAACTTGGCTTATACACGAGTATATAAGGTATTTTTGCAACTTTAGGTAATTACCAGATCAATTATTTTCATCAGTTTAATCAGCCAAGATATTACTTACCTATTGATTCAATCTGGAAATCAAAGGTGAGTTCTGATGATAACTTTCTGCTGGATTTTAATCTTCCTTGGAGATTTACTATTTTTATACAACCTAGAGGGGAAAAAGTCACGGAGAAACAAAGACAAAGCAATCTTATTCCTTGAGGGCAACGTAACCACACAGAGCGACTCAGGAACGGATAGATCTACAGGGCCAGCCCCAATCAGAGCCCATCTGACCACCCCCTTGAAGTATGCACTACGGAGGACAGCACTGTCCCTACAGGTCGGGGAGAGGGGCCGGCCTGCCACGCCCACTCAGAGCGGGGGAGGGGCCAGAGGACTGTCAGCAGCTCCAGACCTGATGTCCCCTGCTGGAGCACACCACAGCAGAGGACAGTATGGGGACACATGGCAGGGAGTGAGTGGTGTGCCCCCCCACAGTGGGGCGAACCAAGAAGGGAACATAACGGATCAGCAATGGGAGCAAAGCAAAGCTACAAGACCCCTGAGGAGCCCCCAAAATAGGCTTTAGGCTGTAGGAGGGGCCGTTCCCAGAACCCCCAGGGCCAGTGGGAAGACAGTCACGCAGGTCAGGGGCAGACCTGGAAATTATGTATGCTTTTTCAGTTTTGTTCTGTTTTTCCTTTCTTTTTGTTCAATCCTTTGTTCTGTCTCTGTGACTGCTGTTTTGCCTACCTAAGACAGGAACCGACGGTTCTGGAGGGACTTGGGGGAGGAGGAGGCAGGGGAAAAGAGTGGTGAGCAAACACCACCATAGACAGGGGAACAACTAGGGAATGAAAATCAACAACAAGGAGGACGTAGCGATCTCAGCGGTGTGGGAGCAGCAGCAATCTAGCTGAGAGGAATTACTAAGAGGTGGGATATGGGCGAGTGTGATCGTGGGGCAGGAGGACGGTAAAAGGCAACAGGAAAGATCTAGGAAACCAAGCTATGGATAGAGGTATAAACAGAGGTGTGCACTTATGTACTATATTAATTCATAAAATAAAGGTATTGGCCTATGTATGTATATACACACATATATATACACATATATATATGGAAATACATTGAGGAAGTGGACGGACTTTGGGCCTCTGCTCAAGCCCTCCCTCAATGCAAGAACACTTTGTTCTAACAACCTGCATTTTGTGACGCACACCCTCCACACATGATCGCTGAAGAGAAAATGGGTACATAAGCAAATGTGGTGAAGAGAGCTGATGGTGCCCGGCTATCGAAAGATATAGTGTCTGGGGTCTTAATGGCTTTTCATTAAACAAGTGGCCATCTAGCAGAGAGGCGACAAGCCCACATGGAAGAAGCACATCAGCCTGTGGGATCATGATATTGACAGAATCAGGTAACAGACACCAGAAGACCCAAAACAAAACAAAAAACCATATTGTTAACAGGAGGGGGTCAGAGCAGAGATTCCCAAACCTATCGGTAGACATTAAAACATCCCCTCAACAGAAGGGTCACAAGGAAGAGATGAGTCAACCAGGGTGCAGTATAGCATTGATAAAACACAATGTTCCTCTGGTTCTTTGAGGCTTCCTCACACCCCAGTATCATGACCCCATTCCTGCCTTTCAGTTCTGGCTAGACCAGAGCATGTACACAGGTACAGATAAGAGCTCATGACACACGGAATCCAGGTCAGATAAACTCTTCGTGAACAGAAATGGGAGTAGCGATACCAGGAGGGCAGGGGAGGAGGAAAGGGGAACCGATCACAATGATCGATGCATAATGACACCTCCTCCCCCATAAGCAACAGAAAGGTGGGTGCAGGGAGACAGCAGTTGATGTAAGATATGAAAACAATAATTTATAATTCATCAAGGGGTCATGAGGGTGGGGGAAGAGGAGCTCATACCAAGGGCTCAAATAGAAAATGAAAGTTTAGAAAATGATGATGGCAACACATATACACATATGCTTGATACAACTGATGTATGGAATGTCATAAGAGCAGTAAAGCCCCCAATAAAATGATTTAAGAAAGTAAAAATACAAAATAAAACTTACAGTCCATGCATACGAGAATGGTATCTCTCTCCAACTGCGTTACATGAGTAACACTTGCCTGTGGGCTATCTGCAACACAAGCAACGTTGAGTAAAGCTACAGAAAAACGTAGTAATAAAAGCACAGAGCTAAGAGTTCTGAGAGCATTGCACTCGAAACAGTCTTAAAACATGCTCGTTGATGATTGGACTAGAGTCAGACAGCTTGGGTGCAAGCACGGAAGCAAGTGCTAAACTACTTACGTGTTCAACATGGTCAGTGATTGTTAGCCATTGTTTTCACTCTTGTAAGTTACAGTTATGACTGATTTCTGATTTTAAGCTTAGAAGGCCTAGAATTGCCCTTTATAAGTTTAAGTGACTTGACTTTCCCATGAACCTGAAGCCCCTTTTTACATGCCCTAGACCCAGTAAGGTCTCAGTATGTACCTACATGGTCTGTTAAACAAATCAGCTACTTTAAAACGAGCCATTTTCTCCCAGTTCTAAAGAGACGTTTAAGACTGGATTTTCACAGTTTCTCCTTAAAGAGAGACACTGTAAATCTGTTGCTTATAAAACTGGTATACACATGTAAGGGCCTCACAAAGTTTGTGGAAAAGGGAATTACGAGATCTCCCCACAAATTTTTGGAATCCCCTTCGAATAATGGTCTTAATAATTCAGAGCAAAACACAAACCTGACTCTGTAAACCACGAAGAGGTAGAATTCGGATTGACGGTCTCAAACCGCACCACCTGGTTGAAGTCTCGCCCTCTGCTGACACCCACACACACTAAAGGGTGCTCCTGTTCTGGGACCACCAGCATCTCAAACATCCTGAGTGGACACGGGATGGGGAAATCGATGTGCTGAGGATGGAAACGAAGACACGTCACACACAGGAAAGCAAAGAGCCAACTGACTAATACTGTTATCAGTCTTCAGTTCTACTGAAACACACAGTCAAGTTACTTCTTAGCATAGAAACTCAGGGCATACAGAAAAATCTAAATTATGATGTATTTTTATAAATACTTTATGGTTACCAATGTGGACTTTTCTTTTGAAGTTTAAAAAAACACCCCACATTATTTTAGGCAATTAGGGTTGGAAAATGGACCTCCTGGTGGCACAAATAGTCAAGCACTCAGCTTCTAACCCCGAGGTCGGTGGTTCTAACCCACCCCAAAACTCTTCGGGGCGGAAGACTTGGTGATCCATTCCCATAAAGTTCACGTCTAGGAACCCCATGGGCAATTCTACTGTCACACTGGTTGGCTTTCGGCCAGCATCAACCCCATGGCACCAAACAACAGGGCTGACGGGGACACCCTCATCAAGCGTCCAATCCTCTTTTCTCAGGGTTGGAAACTGAGGCCCGGGAATTTGGTGACTGTGTCAGGGTCCCCTGGCCCTTTCTGGTACAGTCTCCAAAATGGATTGCCTCTCATTATACTTAATTCTGTACTTATTCAACTGAGCAAAAGTGGATAAAAGAACTGAATTAGCCAGTGAGAAGCACGCGAAATTGAGCATCCAATCTCAAGTGATTTCATTCAATAAGGTAACACACAAGTAAAAGAAACCAACTTTAATTTGAAGTAATTTAAAGCATTCTACCTTACTGTAAAGAGATGAATGAATTAAAAGTGTGGAAAAACTTCATTGGCCATTAGGAAGTAAACTCACAATGCGGTACTACGGGCAGTAGAGTGAGAAAGAGTCACAGCAACAGTCCTGGGAAGGAGCAGATGAATGCTCACCCCACTCGGATGGGAAACAGAGACGCAACCACAGGTTCATTGCATTAGCTCCTAATGTAGTCGTGTGTACTCCCTGTGACCTGCTAAAGCATCGCTGGTGCATGCC